TTGAACTGTTTGAAGTTATTCAAACGCATTGGTCCTTTTATTGATTTTCCATCAACTTTCTTTAAGTTTCAATTGAATTTAAAAGTGGACCCCACCATTTGGGCATCAATAATTTATTTTTTAATTTTCCACTTACTCTAATATAAAATAAATTATCTTCGAGTTTCAATTGAATCTAAAAGTGGAAGCCACCATTGGGCATCATATATTTAATTTTTAATTTTCCTACTTACTCTAATATAAAATAAAATTATAAGTCTAAAGATGAGGAAGAAATTAATTAAATTGATCCTCGCGTTTTTTAGACTTTTAATTACCTCTTCTCATAATTTATCAGCCTTTTTGTCTTAAGAGGATGAAGTGTTTTCCATTTTTTAAATCCAATAGTGAGCCATCAATGCAAGTAAAGAAGAAACAATATAACTAATTAAGACATATTCGTCGTAGAAATAAAGACTTCCTGCTGTAAGTTCAGTAACGAATAGGGTCAGGCTTGAACGTGGGCGTGAAGGCGGGGAAGAAGTAGAAGAATGAGTCTTTTCCTCGACGGTTCGGTCTTCAAGTGTACCGTTCCCCAACGCCTTCACTGTGAGAAGCTTCTGAGCATGCGAGAAGACAGCGCACAAAACTAGTTCAGAAAAAACTAAAATACTCCAAACTTAGAAAAAATAAATCACAGCATTTCTCTCTCTCCTCTCTTTTCAAATAAATTAACAATATGAAACATTCCAATATCATCAGCAAAAGGTAAGCTGCCCATAATATTATTCATTTATCAGCGACAAACTGCATGTTAAAACTTGGAAATTGTCGAGGAATTGTATTTTCAATTCATTATTTATAATTAAAAGAGACGTTTAGATCTATAATGTTTTATGAGGATATATTATATTAACGGAAAGAAAAATCATCTTAAAGTTTACGGAGAATTTTAGAAAATATATTTGATTGGTTCGAATAATGATGAATAATATTTAATTGGGAGGATAAATAGGTGAGTATGTTATATAATTACTAAATTGTCTTCCTTTTTAAATATTAATGTAATGTGTTTATTATTTATTTTTTTGAATCATCCCTTTTAACCCCTTACATTTGAAATTTTGCTAAAATACCTCAACCATATAAAACTTTAATTTAGAGCAAAATCACCCCCCCCACCCCCCAGCCACTACCAACAGCCAGCCACCACCCCCAGCTAACTTTTGTATCCCTTTAATTATGTCAAGTATATGATCTCAGAATATTTTAGATATTATATAATCTTCTAATTATATCAACACATATTTGTAGTCTGTAACTACCATAATGAAGATTCAAGAGATCATATACTCCCTATAAAAGATTATAACTTCTTAGTGATAAATCAATGAATTTAAAATATACAAATATTCAATTAAACACGTAAGTTTGTTCGAACACCCCTGATCACAAGGAGAGAGAGAGAGAGAGAGAGAGAGAGTTTAGCTGGAGTAACAAATTTTGCTCAGACTTACCAAATTGAAAATGTTAAATTTGTAACATGTATAACCTTTATTTTCCATCTAACAAATGCGTTTCATATATAGTTTCCGAGTACCGATTCTTTAATCGACCAAATACGTTCCATGGACGTCTCTGTAAAAGCAATTTTTATATGAAACGCGTTTGTCCTATATTGCCAACTTTATTGATTTTCCATCAACTTTTTTCTTTAAGTTTCTATGAATTTAAAAGTGTAACCCACCATCTGGGCATCAATATTAATTTTGAATTTTCCTACTTACTCTATAATAAATAAAATTATAAGTCTAAAGAATGAGAAGAAAAGGCAAGATAGTGACCCATCAATTTAATTAATTTCTATAAATAAAATTTTAGCAAATTCATGATACTATGAATCTAAGAATGTCTATCTTAATTAAAATAATCATATTAGTGAACATTTCACTCTAAAAGGCACTAATCATCACCCACTATCTCAATTAAAATTTCCGTAATATTTTACATTCATATTATTAGTGTTGAGATTTCCTAAATATTGTGTAATCATGTAAATCTTATGTAATCCTTTAGTTATTCAAGTATCAATCTCAGAATATTTTAGATATTATGTAATCTCTTAATTATGTTAGACACAATTTATATAAAGACTTTAACTCCTTAGTATAATCAATGAATTGAAAATATACAATTCTTAATTAAACACGTCAGTTAGTTCAACACCCTCGATCACCAAAAAAAAAAAAAAAAAAAAAGGTTTGGCTGAAGTAACAAGAGTTTTGCTCAAACTTACCAAATTGAAAATGTTAAATTTGTAACATGTTAAGCTTTATTTTCTGTGTAACTTGTATCATATATATTTTCCGAGTAAAGATTCTTTAATCGACCAAACACGTTTCATAGACGTCAACGGCTCCCACTCGACTCTGAATAGGTTCGCCCCTGGTTAAAGGTGAAGCTATCATTCCTTGTTTTATACTCAAAATATCCGAAATTTGTGTGGGTTAAGTCAAGATTAACTACAGTTGTTTTACGTTTATTTTGAGGGTTAGGGCTCGTTACGTCCCTTAACTTGATTTTTTTAAATAATTTTTCTTCGTTAAATAAATTAATAAATAAATAGAACCAAATATTATTCTGTTATACTTACAAAGCAGTGATTCTTGATTTTTACATGAAACTCCATCCCAGAATGCACAAGGGTCATCTGCATTTTGCCATGAATCCTTCAAAGATTTGAGCACTGCAGCTGTGCCACCAACATTTTCAGTTAGTTAAAATAAATATATTACTGATATCTGAAGAACAAATAATTTGTTTTTATTTCTTGAGATGTTTAATTAGTACCATCAAAGTTCAGTAAGATCACTAAAACCTATTGAAATTATTCACAAATTTAAGATAAAATTTCCACAATTCTTTTCAACTCTCGCGCGTAAAAATTAATTCTTGTTAGCGACAGTTTAAAGTCTGAATTTCAAGTTACATTTCATAATTTTCATATATATATATATATATATATATATGTTGTGTGTGGTTGAAGGGATTATTCGGGACAAGATTTAAAATACGAACCTCATTAACCGCCCTCATTTAATTTTACTATCATTGATAAACACAAAAGAAAAACTATAAAATTTTGTTTCTATTATCACCATTACATTAATAACAAGAGTCTAGATTTTAAAAATTATCAGATGCCAACACCTGAATCGTATCACGATACTATACAATCATTCACATAGACAATCAAAGTTGGATCAAAATTACGAACCTCGGCTAACAATTTACTGGCATTGATAAAATATCACATAAACAATTTTTCAATCAATATTACTACGGCATAAAACTACAAAATTTTGTTTTTAGTATTATCAGCAAACGCCAATAAACAAAAGTCCAGGATTTTAAAACATTACAGACGTCACACCTATGAAATTGTAACACAATCATTTACATAATAAAATCAGAGTTGGATCAAAAAGAGACTAGAAAATCCGTCTCCAGAGTCATAACACAAGAATAAGTTAAATTTTGAGCACTAAGCAACGCAATGAAGATGAGAGATCTGCAAAGAAATGTCATGGCTACCTGCCTGCTGAAACTCCAATGAAATTAATTTGAGATATCAAAACATTACTCAATTTACCATTTATATATATATATATTTTTTAATATGAAGAATACAGCTTTGTCCGATCTCTTTTACTGAAGTCTGTATCAAACAAACATTAAAAAAAAGCTACATTTTTTACTTATCCTCCGCCTGCAAATCACAAATCAAGGGAGGATTTTCCAATGGTTGGTAGTAGTTACACTTCGCATACTGATAATGGCGAAAACATATGGGAAAACTAGTAGTAATTTCCAATGTGTTTTAATATGATTGAGGATTTATTACGTAAATATTTGATATGAATATTTCATGCTGTGAATGTAAACCCCATATTAGTGTATGGAATGCGTTTCAAATTAATCGATCATACAATAGTATATATCAAATTAATCATGTTAATATTTCCAACTAAGCAAATGAATATTGAGATAATTGTGTTTAAACTAATTTGCGCGTACTATAACTAATCTTCAGGGCCTATTAAATGCTCTACAAGTCCAATGGATTAGGTAAATCACAAAAGTAGCAGGTGACTATTTTTTGAGACTCAAATACAAGACATTTGGATAACTCACCTAGATGGCTAAAGTCTTCTTGTCCCGCGACTCCAGCCACAAGGCTACTGGTTATAGTTGGGAAGTTATGTAATTGTAAAAGGGTTCAATTTGGTTAAAACATTCTCTAGAATAAAGACCAATTGAGGTTGGAGAATACCATGACAAATTCAAGAGGGTGGTGATTATGTGAAGAGCAAGTTTCCTTATTGACATATGGATATTCTTCTCTGGGTCTAGAATACTGTGAGAGAAGTAAAGAGAATATAACTTCTCTACACATCAAATTTTTTTGGGTAAATTTAACAAAGTTAACTGGTATTTTTCTCTTGTATCTATCACCTGGTTTTTATGCAAAATTATATGCAATTACTCGACAAAAACAATTTCTGAAGCACATACCAAGAGGTCCAAGACAAGTGTAAGGATATGTCAATTAAAAGCCATTCAATATGCTTAATACATAAAATTATTCTGGAAATGTAGTCTGAAAGATTGATGTATAAACCCACCCATGGGCAGTCTTAACGGTAAAGGTAAACCAATGAGACTATAAATGGGTAATACCTTTCCTCATGATTTATGTGAGATTGATGTTAATGTATTGCTATTATTGGGTTTAAATTTAAACTTTAAATTACACTTGCAAAAAATGGTTAGCACAATTTTTAAACTATAAGATTAATACATTCGAAAAGTAAAAATTAAAATTTAATCTAAATTGTATAATTTTCAAGGCACATATATCTCAAACATACCAAAGTAGAGTAAAATATGCAAAAATTAGAATAACAGCACAATCACTTAAAAAAGGTCAATAAACACATTTCCAGAACCCTCTAATTGCAAAAAAAAAAATAATGCACATAACTGATTAGAGAAGCATAAGAAAATTCAATTCCATTCCCAATAAATATTTAAAAAAACCAAAGCAAGATTTCAGTTTACTACAAAACAGAGATCAGAACTGAAGGGATCCTCCAAAAACTGATGGTGATTCAACAGACTAAACTCTTTCTATTCGAAACACAACGACCACCGATCCGCAGATTCTTTTTCACCCTCTTTGAATGATAGTATTACTGCTCTGTTATAACTAAACTCGAACTCCCTTGTTAAGACTAACCATGCGTGCTGAACTATCCATCTGGGAAGCCCTCATGGCTGAATTCCTATAGCCTCCAGAATATCCGCTTGCTCCTCGTGATTGACCTGACCTGTCCCTAGAATATCCACCAGCTTGGCCTAGCCCCAACATCCTCCCGCCACCCGCATATCCTGATCGGTTATTACCTTGCCTTCCCTGAGTGTAAGACGAGTTGTCCTGCCACTTGCCAGCTTCAGCACCTGTCCCAGCATATTCCTGGTTGTCCCTCCGCCTATGAGACAGATCTAATCCGCCTCCTCCTATTCTCGTCTCAATTGCTCTTTCATTACTTTCAGCAAGAACTGACAGCTTCTCTGTTAACTGGAATGCCAGAGCCTGCAACCTCGAGTGCTCAATTTCATGGAAGACGATGCAACGCGTAGGCTGATCCCAACTAGCGTGAAGCTCCTCATTGATCATCATCTTACTAACAATGCTGTGAGTCTGGGCTTCCGAAATGTCAAACATTTTGGTGAGTTGGTCCAAGCTTAGTGAATCATAGGACGAGGAGTAGGTAAAAAGGTAAGTCCTCAAAGCTTCTTCCTTGATCTTGGCTTTAAGCATCTCAAGGACGTTCTCCCGGTTCCTGAGGAGCTTCCAGACATCCAGAGAGTTGATAACATCGAAGGCCTTCTGGAAATCTCCCTTGGTAAGTGCCCTGGTGGCTGCCATTACATGGTCCCTGACATTTTCTGGGGGACCGGTGAAAGTTTGTCTCTCACTCACCTCAAGCAATCGTCGGAACGTCTTGCTTATGACCTTACGTTTAGCTTCATGGGTGTTGGCTGCCATGTTAGGGACATCAAGTAGCATAGCTCAAATCAGATGAACAGCCTCCAGTAACTCAAGATTTATGTGCATATGGTATGGCATCTGACGTCTTCTTTCAAGCCTTTCCTGAAAAAAATCAATAAATTAAGATGAGTAAATTAACTTATTGCCATAATTCATTTTTAATGTGCTTCATGCCAATCCTTTGTTTTCCTTTTATAAAAGCTAAAAATTCGCCAAATTTTGAAATAGTCAACTTATCAACAAGCATATGGAAAGAGACCTGGACTTTTTAGTTCTCAAAGAGATCTCTCTCCTTTAATGGCACTTTAACACCAGAACAAATTCATTTTGCATGATTGCTATTTTCAATCAAAGAGAGATTTGAAGCTTAAACTACGTTTTGAGGGATGTCTTCAAAGAACAATAACGAAAACAGGACGAGAAAGGTCTGCCAAACATATTCTAGTATTTAGATATCTTGTTTTCAAATCTTACTATCATATTTAAATTTTATATCAAATAGGCACTAAATCAACTAGAAAATCAAACAGCAGTAATAATTCAATCACAGTTCTATGTTGAATGTCAACACTATGACATTCAGTTAAGAAATTCGGAAGAACCATCTGTCATGAAACACGAGAGAAAAACTTCCAGTCACAAAAGAAGTACCCATTAAGAATGTACATAGTATCAACTTACATATAAAAGGCCATAAGCTAAGATAAGTACCTGTTCAGGAGTCTTCTCATGGTATCTACTTTGGGAAACACCTTGGGCAAGCAACTCCTTCACCCTTCCACCTGAATACAGTTCAGAAAGGCAGCTATGTCCTTCGGCAACTAGTCCAACCCTAAATGCACATAGGCCAAGCTGCGCCATAGCCCTGTTGAAGAGTATCTGGGATAAAACATCCATCTGCTGAACATTATCCTGTAGATGACTCATTAGAAGCAAGTCACGGGCAGTTGAGAATTCATCCAGGAGTGCATGATGGTAAATATCACAAAGCATGGCACGGGCTTTTGTCCTCTCGTCTCCATGCTTGTATATGAGGGAAACAAGAATATCCATCATTGTTCTACTATTTTCAGGAAATGTGGGCTTTCGAGGCACAACCTCAGGAACAACAATAAATGCAGAAGGGCCCCTACTCTCCTCCTCCCCAGCTTTCTCTCCATCTCCATCCACTGCCTGTTCAGCCAATTTCCTCATAGCATCATAAACCTCTTGTGGCTTATAATAGATGAGCTCAACACGCCTTAGGGCTACCTTTGCAGCAGCTTTGAACTCTCCAACCCGCTCCAGATAGTCCTGCACATCTTGAGCAAGAACTGACAACATAGGCTCATCCCTGAGTCTTTCAACATACTCGCGTGTGTGCGGATCAATGCTTTGCAAGCTCTTGAAAAACTCTGTGTCTATCTTCTCAACAAAGGCAACCAAATTTCCCCATACCCGAATTGTCCCATTATAGTCTGCTGGCTTCTGTGTTTCATTCTCATCAGGTTCAATTGTGTCATTCACCACAATATTAGGATACTGAGTAAGAATGTCAAGTACGATAAGCATATTCTGCACACACTTCTTCCACACATTTATTGGCATGTGTCCACTAAGACCTGGATTAACATCAAACTGAGCAGAGATAACACTAAAAAGAATTTCCAGCTTCTGAGCAGGAGTCTTCGCAACCTTTGTCAGGAAGGTAAGCTGCTCAACTTGCTCAAACCTTCCAGTTCCCTTCCTACCACGAGCAGCCACAACCTCCTTAAACTTTTTGTTAACAGTTTCCCAGGTGACCTCACTAGGATTCTTGAATTGCTTGTCAATCAGCTTATCTTTCTTACTCAACTTCTTCTCCCAGCCCTTGTCATTAACATCATCATCTTCTTCTTCTTCCTCCTCCTCATCAGCATCAGATCCTTCTCCAATTCTAATGTTGTCAGGATCCTCCTCAAACTCTGATTCCTCATCTTCATCCTCCTCAGATTCCTCATCTTCATCCTTCTCCTCTTCACTCTCAGGATTCTCCCTACACTTATTAATCAAATCTTCATATTGCTTATTGTTCTTTTTCAGTTTCTGCTTCATGGAATTCAAGGCTTTCGCATTGCTGCTACTCATCTTCTTTTTAGCTTCCTTATTTGCCAAAGCTTGGTTCAAAAAGTCCTCCAACATCACAAGAGCTTTGATATATAGATTAGGAACCTTGACAGACTCAGTCACCCTCATGACCTTCTCAAGCTGCTTATTTATCTTGTCAAAACTCTCTTGCAAGCTAACCCAATCATTGATCTTCATAGCATTCTTCATCTGGTCAACTGTGGCAGTCATCTCTTCAAATCGTTTGTCCTTGGCTGACCTGACCACTCGCTTTTGACCATCAGAATCATCACTATCACTTGCCATGCCCTTCAGGTATCTGCTTCCAGCAGTTTCGGTGGTGGCCTCAGCTCCCCCAGTTTCAACCTCGTCCTCATAATCACTCTCCTCCTCCTCGGAGTCGCTACCACCCTATTTAAAACAAAGAAAAACTATCAAACCAAGAGAACAAAGAAACAGAGAAACCCATGACCAAAAGACTGCTTTATTCCAATAAACAATAAAGATATGAATATTCATTATGCCACCAACCTGAGTCCAGAAACGTGACGACATTCTCTTGTATGCGGGAAATCACAGAAGTGAAATAATCTGAAATCAAACAAAACCAAAAACAAGAACTGCATAAGTCCTAACAACCCAATCAATGAATCCATAATAAAGTAGCCACACCTATAAGCCCACTTCGAGAATACTATAACAAAAGTACATCCATGTAACAGTACCCCACAACCACAAGCACCAACTTCATTATCACAAAAACAAGCCCAAAAGAAAATAAACTTACAATTTCATGATATTTGCATATCAACAAAAATTTAGAACAAAACAAGAATATCAAAAAAGCTAAAACTTTATTTCACAGACAAATCAACATAAAAACAATAAATCTAGAGAATGTAATATTCTTATTTTCTCAGGGTTGATCAAATCCTCAAAAAAAATTAATCAACAAACAGTTTATTAGTGAAACTAACTATAACACGATAAACTAAAATCAATTAAAAACAAAAATTAATACAATCCAAAACGTAAAACTCATAAATCAGATCGCCCGAGCAATTTGACACACTCAAATATTGACAATTCCGATATCGGCATTCTCAGCTTCTTTACTTTTCCCAAAAAATTTCGGCAACCAAACAGAAAAAGAGACTGCCGAATGATAATGTGATAAAATATTCTTACTTGCTTGAGTTTATCGAATTCAAAAAAACAAATATGTAATCCACAATTAATTCGTTAATAAAACTAACTATAAAACGAGAAATCAAAATTATTAAAAATATTTGAACATAAAACAAAACGTAAGAACTGGAAAGCAGATCGTTCTATCAATTTCACAAACTCAAAATATGAAAAAAACCAAAATTCCGGTATCGGTATTCTCAGTTTCGTTTCTTCTTCAAAAGATTTCTCGGGAGCCAAACAGAAAGAGAAAGAGGGGAAACTGATTACCTGGCGTGTAAGATTGCAGAAGAACGAAGATGGCTGCGGCACTCACAGAGCGTTAGTGAAGAAGAGCGAGAGAGGGGGTTAGGGTTTGCTAAGTATAATCAAACAAAAGAGATGTTTCATATTGGACCGGGTTTACGTTTATAGAGGCCCATATTTATTTAAACCGACTTACTAGGTACACCCACTAATGGGGACGTGATTTCCAAATTAAAGGGGATTTTATCTCTAGTCCTATGAAAGTTTCCCATGAAAGTTTATTCGAATAATAACATTTGTTCTAAATTTAAAAATAAATAAGGCTCCGTTTGTTTCATTCTGTTAATACTTACAAAGCAGTGATCTTGAATTTTACATGAAACTCCCTCCCAGAATGCACAAGGGTCATCTGCATTTTGCCATGAATCCTTCAAGATTTGAGCACTGCAGCTGTGCCACCACATCATTTTCATTTAGTAAAATAATAATATTACTGAATATCTGAAGAAACAAATAATTTTTTTTTATTCTGAGATGTTTATTAGTACCATCAAAGTTCAGTAAGATCACTAAAACCTATTGAAATTATTCACAAATTTAAGATAAATTTCACAAATTCTTTTCAACTCTCGCGCGTAAAAATTATTCTTGTTAGCCCAGTTTAAGTCTGATTTCAAGTTACATTTCATAATTTTCATATATATATATATATATATATATGTGTGTGTGTGTTGAAGGGATTTATCGGGACAAGATTTTAAAATACGAACCTCATTAACCGCCCTCAGTTAATATTTACATCATCATGATAACACAAAAAAAAAAACTATAAAATTTTGTTCTATTATCAACCAGTAACATTAATAAAAAGAGTTCAGATTTTAAAAATTATACAGATGCCAACCCTGAGAATCGTATCACGATACTATACAATCATTCACATAAGACAATCAAAAGTTGGATCAAAATTACGAAACCTCGGCTAACAATTTACTGGCATTGATAAATATCACATAAACATTTTTCAATCAATATTACTACGTTTAAAACTACAAAATTTTGCTTTTAGTATTAATCAGCAAACGCCATAAACAAAGTCCAGGATTTTAAAACATTACAGACGTCACACTGAAATTGTACACAAATCATTCATAATAAATCGAAGTTGGATCAAAAAGAGACTAAAATTACCGTCTCCAGAGTCAGTAACACTAAGATGAATGAATTTGAGCACTAGCAACGCAAGAAGATGAGAGATCTGCAAAGAATGTCATGGCTACCTGCCTGCTGAAACTCCAATGAAATTAATTTGAGATATCAAAACATTACTCAATTTACCATTTATATATATATATTTTTAATATGAAGAATACAGCTTTGTCCGATCCTTTTACTGAAGTCTGTATCAAACAAACATTAAAAAAAGCTACATTTTTTACTTATCCTCCGCTGCAATCACAAATCAAGGAGGATTTTCCAATGGTTGGTATAGTAACACTTCGCATAGATAATGGCGAAACATATGGGAAAACTAGTATTAATTTCCAGTGTTTTAATATGATTGAGGATTTATTACGTAATATTTGATATGAATATTTCATGCGTGAATGTAAACCCCATAGTTGTATGAATGCGTTTCAAATTAATCGATCATACATAGTAATATCAAATTAATCATGTTAATATTTCCAACTAAGCAAATGAATATTGAGATATTGTGTTTAAACTATTTGCGCGACTATAACTAATCTTCAAGGCCTATTAAATCTCTACAAGTCCAATGATTAGGTAAATCACAAAGACAGGTGACTATTTTTTGAACTCAAATAAAGACATTTGGATACTCACCTAGATGGCTAAAGTCTTCTTGTCCGCACTCCACCACAAGGCTACTGGTTATAGTTGGAAGTTATGTAATTGTAAAAGGGTCCAATTTGGTTAAAACATTCTCCAGAATAAAGACCAATGAGGTTGGAGAATACCATGACAAATTCAAAGTGGTGATTATGTATGAAGAGCAAGTTTCCTTATTGACAAATGGATATTCTTCTCTGGGTCTAAAATACTGTGAGAGAAGTAAAGAGATATACATCTTACATCAAATATTTTTGGGTAAATTCAACGAAGTTACTGGTATTTTTCTCTTGTATCTATCACCTGGTTTTTATGCAAGTATTTGCAATTACTCGACAAAAACAATTTCTGAAGCACATACCAAGAGGTCCAAGACAGTGTAAGGATATGTCAATTAGCCATTCAACATGCTTAATACATAAAATTATTCTGGAAATGTAGTCTGAAAGATTGATGTATAACCCACCCATGGGCAGTCTAACGGTAAGGCAAACCAATGGACTATAAATGGGCAATACCTTTCTCATGATTTATGTGAGATTAATGTTAATGTATTGCTATTATTGGGTTTAAATTTAAACTTTAAATTACACTTACAAAATGGTTAGCACAATTTTTAAACTATAAGATTAATACATTCGAAAAGTAAAAATTAAAATTTAATCTAAATTGTATAATTTTCAAGCACATATATCCAACATACCAAAGTATAGTAAAATAGGCAAAAATTAGAAAACAGCACAATCACTTAAAAAGGTCAATAAACACATTTCCAGAACCCTCTAATTGCAAAAAAAAAATATGCACTACTGATTAGAGAGCATAAGAAAATTCAATTCCATTCCCAATAATTTTAAAAAACCAAAGCAAGATTTCAGTTTACTACAAAACAAGATCAGAACTGAAGGGATCCTCCAAAAACTGATGGTGATCAACAGACTAACTCTTTCTATTCGAAACACAACGACCACCCGTCCGCAGATTCTTTTTCACCCTCTTTGAATGATAGTATTACTGCTCTGTTATAACTAAACTCGAACTCCCTTGTTGACTAACCATGCGTGCTGAACATCCATCTGGGAAGCCCTCATGGCTGAATTCCTTAGCCTCCAGAATATCCGCTTGCTCCTCGTGATTGACCTGACCTGTCCCTAGAATATCCACCAGCTTGGCCTAGCCCCACATCCTCCCCCACCGCATATCCTGATCGGTTATTACCTTGCCTTCCCTGAGTGTAAGACGAGTTGTCCTGCCACTTGCCAGCTCCAGCACCTGTCCCAGCATTCCTGGTTGTCCCTCCGCCTATGACGAATCTAATCCGCCGCCTCCTATTCTCGTCTCAATTGCTCTTTCATTACTTTCAGCAAGAACTGACAGCTTCTCTGTTAACGGAATGCCAGAGCCGCAACCTCGAGTGCTCAATTTCATGGAAGACGATGCAACGCGTAGGCTGATCCCAACTAGCGTGAAGCTCCTCTAGATCATCATCTTACTACAATGCTGTGAGTCTGGGCTTCCGAAATGTCAAACATTTTGGTGATTTGTCCAAGCTTAGTGAATCTAGGACGAGGAGTAGGTAAAAAGGTAAGTCCTCAAAGCTTCTTCCTTGATCTTGGCTTTAAGCATCTCAAGGACGTTCTCCGGTTCCTGAGGAGCTTCCAGACATCCGAGAGTTGATGACATCGAAGGCCTTCTGGAAATCTCCCTTGGTAAGTGCCCGGTGGCGCCATTACATGGTCCCTGACATTTTCTGGGGGACCGGTGAAAGTTTGTCTCTCACTCACCTCAAGCAATCGTCGGAACGTCTTGCTTATGACCTTACTTTAGCGTCATGGGTGTTGGCTGCCATGTTGGACATCAGTAGCATAGCGCAAATCAGATGAACAGCCTCCAGTAACTCAAGATTTATGTGCATAGGTATGGCATCTAGATCTCTTCTTTCAAGCCTTTCCTGAAAAAATCAATAAATTAAGATGAGTAATTACTTATGCATAATTCATTTTTAATGTGCTTCATGCCAATCCTTTGTTTTCCTTTTATAAAAGCTAAAAATTCGCCAAATTTTGAAATAGTCAACTTATCAACAAGCTATGGAAAGAGACCTGGACTTTTTAGTTCTCAAGAGATCTCTCCCTTAATGGCACTTAACACCAGAACAAATTCATTTTGCATGATGCTATTTTCAATCAAAGAGAGATTTGAAGCTTAACTACGTTTTGAGGGATGTCTTCAAAGAACAATAACGAAAACAGGATGAGAAAGGTCTGCCAAACATATTCTAGTATTTAATATCTTGTTTTCAA